GAGAAAAAACATTAAAAAATGTAAGACAATGTACAAGTTTAGAATTTTATTTCAAGTAGCTTTATATGGTTAAGGTAAGCACGTTAAAATATTATAATTTTAATACTTTTTCTGTAATACTGAAAAATGTTTATTTACATAAAACAATATTCAAAATATATTATTTAGTAAAAATAAGTCTAAAACAAAATATCTGACTGCATTTTTATAAGTAAAATATATACAAACTCAAAAGGCTTGAAAAGATACATATTAAGATGTTAACTGAAGGTGCACAGCCAATGGCATAGCAGTTACATTGCTGGACGCCAACATGGTCAATTGCAGTTTGAGTCCCAGACCTGGTGGCTTTAAACTCACGCCGGGCATGTGTGTGTGTGTGTGTGTGTGTGCGTGCCCAAGATCCTAGAAGGAAAACAGAGGAGTGGCGTAGCCATCCCCCCAGGAAATGATTTCTTGGTTTCTATCTCTATGTTTCTGTGGCAAGCGCACACATCCTATAGCAAAAAAAAAAAAAAAAGAGATATTAACTGAGGGACTGGCAAATGGCTGAATGGTTATGTTATTGGACTCTCATGTAGTCAACCTTGGTTCCAGACCCATCCCCATAGTTTAAATCACACCAAGGAGCCAGCAAGTGGCGTGGTGGTTAAGGGCACTGGACTCCCACATGGCCAACCATGGTTCAAGTCCCAGGCTTGGCAACTTGTTTTCTCACTTTCTCTCTCTCTCTGTCACTCTGTCCCTCTCTGGTCAAATTAAAACAAACAAACAAAAAATTAACTAAATAAAATAAATTTAAATAAAATAATTTTTTTTAAAAAAAGGCTCACACTGGGCCTTTGTGCTTGCATGCCTAAGATCCTTGGGGGAAAAGGGATTATGGCATGGCTTTCCTCTCCTGGGGGGTGATTTCTCACCTTCTGTCTCTCTGTCTCTCCAGCAAGCGCACTCCCTTCCTCTAGCGAAAATCTCACTCTTAAAAAAAATGTTAAGTGGGTAGTGTGGGAAGGCAAGGGGAGAGAAAATGAAAAAGTCCCACCAGCCATGCTACAAGCCTTTCTCTTTCATTTTCCTTGTGGGATTTTGGGCACAAATGCATACATGCCTGGCATGTTTACTTGAGCCACCCGGGATTTGAACTACACAGTCAGCTTTGTGAGATCCAGCTGCCTTAACCAGCACACCCCAGGATGGCCCTAGAGGGAAAAGCTTTAAGAGCTGAAAGACAGTTCCAGCTAGAGGAAGCATGCAAAGGTTCAGAAATTAGAGGACAAACTACTGGAGATTATAAATGGATCAGAATAACAAAAGCTTAGGATATAGGAATAGGGAGACTACAAAAGTGTAAAAGATGAAGTGAGAGGTTAGCAGAGGGTGGATGGTGAGTCCTACATAACACGTTAAGAAGTTGTATATTAACTTGGGGTTAATGAGGAGCCATTGGAAGGTGCGTAGCAGAGGTGATGAGTTCAAATTTGCATTTGAGAAAAATTACTGTAGTTTTGATTTGGTTAGTTGGTGTTTATAAAGAATGAAAAAAGAGCCTTATAAAATTATTGGGGCTGGATGGTGGCACAGTGGTAAAACATGATATTCTGCAAGGCAGTTCTACACAAGAAGGTTCTGAGTTCATGTCCAGAGACTTCTCTGAGTGTACCAAGCTTGCCACATGCCCATGATCTGGGACTTGCTGAATCTGGAGGTAGATTGCAGCTTCAGTACCCTGGTGCATGTGCTGTCTTTCTGTCTATCTCTCTTGGTCTGTCTTGCTCATGGAAGAAATAAGTAAGCAGATGGCATAGTGGTTACATCGCTGGACTCCCACGTAGCTGTTTTGAGTCTCAGACCTGGTGGTGTAAAACTCACACTGGGGGGACCAACAGTTAGCGTAATGGCTATGTCGCTGGACTCCCACGTAGTCAACCACGGTTTGAGTTCCGGACCCGGTGGCTTAAAACTCACACCAGGCGCATGTGTGTACGTGCCCAAGATCCTGAGAGGAGAATGGAGCAGAAGGAATTGTGGCGTGGCCATCCTCTCTCTTTCTGCCTCCCTGTCTCTGTCTGGCAAGCGCATGTGCCCTATAGCAAAAACCTCTCAAAAAAGAAAAAAAAAGACCAACCTCACACTGGGTGCAGGTGTGTGCAAGAGGAGAATGGAGGAGAAGGGATTGTGATGTGGCCCTCCCCCCCAGGGTGGTGATTTCTCATTTTCTGTCTCACTGTCTCTCTCTGTCTCTCCAATGAACGCACATGCCCTATAGCAAAAATCTTTCTTGGGTCAGCAGGTGGCATGGTGGTTAAAGATGCTGGATTCCCACATGGCTGACTGCGGTCCGAGTCTCGGATCTAGCAGCTTGCTTTCTCACTTTCTCTGTCTCTCTCTCTCTGTCTTTTACTGGTTAAATTAAAACTAATAGTAATAATAATAAAAAATAAAAGTTAGATAAAATAATTAAAAAATATATCTCATAAAAAAGCTGTTTATTAGTGTATTTCAGTTCTATGATAGTAGTATCATTAACAGGAGTAGTAGCTGTTATCTAGAGAGCATTTGGTGTGGAATCCCATCTCCCTGACTAGACTATGAGCTCTTTCAAGCAGGAACCCTGTTTTATTCGTACTGTAACTAGTACCTAGTATAGTGCTTTGCATGTAGTAGGTAGATATCTGGTTATTTGCTAACTTGACTTGGGTGATAATTAATTTTTTTTTTCTAGGAGAAACATGAACCAGAAGCTACTGAAGTTTGAGAATTTGCTACGGTTTCATACTCTTTGTAGGCAGTTACACAGAGAGTACCGCTCTCTGGGTCAAAGAAGACCGTTAGCACCGTGGTGGCTTTCAGCTGCTTATCCAACATGGACAACTCACCTTTATGCCCGCCCCTGGCGGACAGATGTGCTCATTGGGACTGCTTTATTTCAGTATAGGCTTCTAGTAACAAAGAAGGTAGTTACATATTTCTCTTTTGTTCTGAAATTTTTGTATATTTTATTCTGAAATGAAAGAGCCTAGAACCATGAGTAGATATCCATTTTAAGTGTTTTGTCATTTAGAGTCTTTGATGCTTAATGTTATGCTCTGGGCAGTTGATCTTTGTGTAGAAGGGGAGCTCTGATTACTTGTTTGGTAATGCTGGTGAATTTTATTACTTGGAAACCAGTATATAGCACTGTAGTAAGGGTGTGGGATTTCTTATTTTAGTACAAAGATTTAACTACTTATGCTATTTGCTAGTAGAAATAATAGTGGTGATTGTGGTAGATGCTCTGTAATAAATCTAAATTATCACTTAAATTCTTTCCTTCTTTATATGTACTGACTTTTTGATAGGAAGAAAGACCACAGAAATCTCAGTTACCTTCAACAAAATCTAAAAAGGAAGTCGAAGTCTGGATTGGAATGTCCGTTGAGGAGTTGGCCAGAGCAATGGAAAAAGACGTAGGTGAGCCAGATAATTTTTGAGGAAAAATATGAGAACAGGGAAGACTGGAATCTCATTTGCAGTAAAACAAAGGCATTCAAGGATAAGAACTAGTTCATGGCATGATGGTTGATGGGGCTGATCCCATGTGGCTGATCATGTGGTTCAAGTCCTAGACCTGGCAGCTTGAAAAACACATTGGGCATGTGTACATATGTGTGTTCAAAATCCCAAAAAGAGATGGAAGAGAAAGGATTATGGTGTTTCTGTACCCCATTAGGAATCCTTTCTCCCTCTCCTCTGCCTCTTTATGGTGAGTGTGCATGCCTTCTGGCAAATTTAAATAAATAAATAAGTGTTAAGTCATTCCAATAATTTTCACTTTAGGCCACAAACACTGATTAGTTTTTTCTCTCTCTCTCTCTTTCTTTTTTTTTTTTAAAGAATTATTTTATTTTGACCAGAGAGGGACAGAGTGAGAGAGAAAGAGAGAGGGAAAGTGAGAAAGCAAGCCACCAGGTCTCAGACTCAAACTGCGATTGACCATGTGAATATGGGAGTCCAGTGCCCTTAACTGCCATGCCACCTGCTGGCTCTCTCTCTCTCTCTCTTTTTTTTTTTTCCTACTTAGTTTTCTTTCTCTTTTTTTTTTTTTTTTTTTTTTTTTTTTGGGGGGGGGGGTTTTTTTTTTTTTTTTTTTTTTTTTTTTGGGGGGGGTTTTTTAGGGCACGTGCGCTTGCCAGAAAGAAAGACAGAGAGAGACAGAGAGACAGAAAATGAGAAATCACCCCCAAGGGGGAATGGCCACACCACAGTCCCTTTTCCTCCATTCTCCTCTCGTGATCTTGGGCATGCACGCACATGCGTCTGGTGTGAGTTTAAGCCACCGGGTCCGGGAATCGAACTGTGGCCAACTATATGGGAGTCCAGTGACATAGCCATTATGCCAACTGCTGGTCCCTAGAGCTTTGTCATTTTTAATTCCTTCATTTTGCCATTGATATTACCAATTTAAGATTGTTGGAAGAAGATTTGAATTTTTATTATAGACTGTGTAAAATTGAGTATATGAGAAATAGGCTATTATTGTAGCAAAATAAAGGGACAAGCAGACTCTTAAAAAAATAAAGAATTAAGGGGACCAGCAGTTAGTGTAATGGCTATGTCGCTGGACTCCCATGTAGTCAACCGCGGTTTGAGTCCCAGACCCGGTGGCTTAAACTCACATCGGGCGCATGTGTGTGCATGCCCAAGATCCTGAGAGGAGAATGGAGAAGGGATTGCAGCATGGCCATCCCCCCTGGGGGGGGGGTGATTTCTCGCTTTCTGTCTCT